CACTCAACCCCATACACACAGACAACACCCACACACCTACCCACAGCCACACATACCCTACACACACACAGCCACACACACTGCCACCCCCGCCATATACATACATACACACACACACACACACACACACATACACACACAAAGAGGGAAGGATTAAACCCAGATCTGACATTTTGCTTCATATACTTCAGGAACTAAGTAAAAATTACTGGTTAAAATGAGGTCAAAGTTTATTGGACACCATAGTGGGCTAGTGATAGGAGTTAGCTTGCTTGTGGGTGGTGGTGAGCACCATGGAGTTCCACAAAGCTCCAACAGGGCGCATTGTGGTCTGGGCACAGTCCTACAGGCTATACCCGAGGGAAGACCTGGTGAGCTTTACAAACAGGTGGGTATTTGTTTGGGTGGCAGTGCTGTTTGTGCAGAGGTGGGGGCAGCTTTTATCTGTCATCAGTCCTTGGTGCCCCCTTTTGAGACCTAAATTTCCTGCTTTCCCTGTGGCTTGTAAGGAAAGTGGCGGGTGCCTGGCCGCTGGTGGGTCAGCACCGGTGCTCCCTGGGTCCCTGGGTTTGGAAGTCAGACAGATGTGGGTTTGAGCCGGTGAGCTGTTTGGGAGCAAGTCACATCTGTGGGCGCTGTTGCTCAGGTGCCTTACGATAGGGGTTACCTTGATGGGGGTACCTTCCTGCACTGCCGGTGTGAGTAAACAGCTGTGAGCGAGCGCCTGTGGATGAGGGCTCTGCTTGGCATCGGAGGGATTCAAGAACCACAGCTGTTGTCATTGCTGTCACTAAGCAATCACAGCGGGAAGTAGTACTTACAAAACAAAGGTGTTAACTAAGCACTGAGCAGAGAGGAGGGAGCCCAGTCCCTTGGGAAGCTCAGGAAGGAGGGGGCAGCTGCTTCATAGTGGGGAGCACGGGCGATGTGAGGGAGAGCCCTGCACCCCACCTTGTGGCTGGTGGGACGGGTGGGAGGGCATTGGTGCAGAGATGGCCTGAGGGTCTCCACATCGGAGAGGTGTGCGGGTGCCGGTGTGGAGCAGCAGAGGGGAGGTAGCCCCTGGGACCTGTGGTCAGTGTGTGCCCTGTGATTCCAGGTGCTGACGGCATTGCAGAGGGACAGCCGGGAGATGGAGAAAGGAAGCCCGTCGCTCAGACACTGAGGCGGCAGGCGGACTCGCGCTCAGCACCGGAGCAGAGCTGCCAGCGCACCCGTGCTGTTTGGGGCGGACACACTGGCAGCTGAGAACGGGGGCTGTTTTCCTGTTTGGTTCCTGGTACTGCAGTTGGCCTTAAAACTTTTAAAGGATTAAACCAAGGCTCAGCCTTAAGAAGCTCAGTGGAATGATGACCTAGTATTGACATGGCAACCACTGCACACTGCATGGTTTAAAAGTAGGGCGGCGGTTCTCTCCCCTTTTCCAGCAAACATAATTAAATCGCGCTGCTTCTCTGTCACTACCGCCAGGGCGTAGTCTTTCTTAGCCGAGGTGCATGAGAAGGTGTTTGGGAGACCTCAGAGATGTTACTGGCCCATGGTTACCTATTTTGATAGGAAAGGGATTGCTGATTTCGTTACTGAGGTAATCGCTCCAGAGACAGGTCCAGTCGTTAAAGCCGACCTACCAAAGATGCATTAAGGCACACGAGCTCTCGTGGACGCCCTGGGACTCACCTGCCCTCGGAGTGACGTCTTACCATGTTGCCTTGACAGTCACAGCGCCAGGGCTGACATGCACGCGTAGGCCCAGCAGGAGCCCTGCGCTCCCAGAGGTCGCCCGGCCCCTGTGGGGCAATGGAGGGAAGGGGAGCAGGAGGAGCTCTGCACACAGAAGGCCCCAGGCGGCAGAGACAACCCTGAAGCCGATGGAAGCAGAATGGACACCGTCTCCCTTTAAGTCACAGGGTGTCAAGCCTGCCCTGCTCATTAGTGTGCAGGCACCGACAGCACAGTGAGTGTGAGTGAGTCTGTGTGTGTGTGTGTGTGTGTGTGTGTCCCTACTCATTAGTGTGCAGGCACCGACAGCACAGTGAGTGTGAGTGAGTCTGTGTGTGTGTGTGTGTGTGTGTGTGTCCCTACTCATTAGTGTGCAGGCACCGACAGCACAGTGAGTGTGAGTGAGTCTGTGTGTGTGTGTGTGTGTGTGTGTGTCCCTACTCATTAGTGTGCAGGCACCGACAGCACAGTGAGTGTGAGTGAGTCTGTGTGTGTGTGTGTGTGTGTGTGTGTCCCTACTCATTAGTGTGCAGGCACCGACAGCACAGTGAGTGTGAGTGAGTGAGTGTGTGTGTGTGTGTGTGTGGGGCCCTGCTCATTAGTATGCAGGCACCGACAGCACAGTGAGTGTGAGTGAGTGTCAGTGTGTGTGTGTGTGTGTGTGTGTGTGTGTGTCTGTCCCTGCTCATTAGTGTGCGGGCACCGACAGCACAGTGAGTGTGAGTGAGTGTCAGTGTGTGTGTGTGTGTGTGTGTGTGTGTGTGTCTGTCCCTGCTCATTAGTGTGCGGGCACCGACAGCACAGTGAGTGTGAGTGAGTGTCAGTGTGTGTGTGTGTGTGTGTGTGTGTGTGTGTCTGTCCCTGCTCATTAGTGTGCGGGCACCGACAGCACAGTGAGTGTGAGTGAGTGTGTGTGTGTGTGTGTGTGTGGCCCTGCTCTCTTGCTCTGACAGACTGCTCCTCTGTCCTTTGTCACCTGGACGGCAGCGGCAGCCCTGAGTGCCTGTTTCCTCCTCGCACATTTGGCTTAAAGATGGACTCTCATGAGGACCAAGAAGCGAGCCACGCGTATCCAGTGGCCCAGAGAGTCCTGTCACATTTTCAGTGTCCTTACCGTCAGCCCTCCCATTCTAGCTGGTTCCCCAAGTTCATGAGCACCTCTTTTGTTCTAGATTTTCCTTGATGAATTTTGAGAACTTTGTATTAGGGACTTTGGTTATCCAACTTCAATAAATGAATAGTTTTTGCACAAAGTAGTCCAAAGGACCGGCACCTCTCTATGGAAACAGGTTCTCACGGGATAATCTGTTGGTGTGTTGATCTCTGGGAGTGTGGGCAACCCGGCGGCAGGGCACCAGCAGCCGTGCGGTGCACGCTGGGGTCTGGCTCTGGCCTTTCTTGGCTGGACTCCCAGCCCACGGAGCACCCCCTGCCCGCCGGGCTGGTCCTGTGTCTGATGTTGGGAGTGCCCTCAGCTTCCAGTGTGTAACCTGCAATGAGGAGCGCTGAGGGTGGTGGGGGGTGGTGAAGCTCGCTGTACGCTGTTTGATAGGTTTTCTGTGTCTGCTGTGTCCACTGATGACACTTGCAGTGCAATAGCGAGTTGCCAGCCAGTGGCCGCCCTCGTGCCTCTGTCCTGGCTGCGCTCTGTGCGTCCTTTCCCCGGAATTGCCTTTGTTCCCTGTCTCCCATGCATTCCCCAGGGAGGCTGCAGAGCAGCATGGAAGCCACTCCCTGCCTCGGCCTTTTAGTGCTGACTCGCCGACCTCTGGGAGGAGATCTGCCCTGCGCCTTCCAGACAGAGCAGCCGGTCCTGACACCCCGATGCTGAATGTCACCCGACTCAGCCGCTGCGCAGGGGAGCCCCTTCCATGGCGCGCTTCCTGTTCCTGAGACCTGCACCTTTTCTTACCGCCCATAGGCTGTTCCTTCTGTCGTGACAGGAAGTGGTGCAGCCGGCGGTGGGGCCCTCAGAGTGCATCTGTGCATTCAGACCCGCCCTGAACGGGTTTCGTTGGCTTGAACCTCTTTGGATAGCAATTTGCATTAAGTTTTTGGGTGGTTTTAATCCTCACCTGAGGATATTTTTTCCATTGATGTCTAGAGAGAGTGGAAAAGAGTGGAGGTAGGGAGAGAGAGAGAAGCAACCAAGTGAGACACATTGATTGATTGGTTGCACCCCCCCCCGCCCCCCGCCCCAGGTGCCCGACAGGGGCTGGGGAACCTGCAGCCAAGGCACGTACCCTTGACCAAGAATCGAACCTGCAACCCTTCCGTCCACAGGCCAACACTCTAACCACTGAGCACCGGCCAGAGCTGCATTACATTTTTAAACAGGATTCCATGTCATCAGAATACTTAAAGTCTCTAGTTCCGAGAGGCTTTTGTGACCTGCTCAGGGACCCGTGAGGTCTGGCTGGCTGGCTCTGTCCCCTTCAGAGCCCAGGAAGTTCTCACCCGCGTCAGAGCACGCGGCCCCTGCACAGAGGGCTGCTTCCGGGCTCAGGGCTGTGCTGCTCCACTTGCCAGTATCCATTAAGAAAACTGGGAACAAAGCTGGAGGCCCACCCTCAGAGCCCACACCTCCCGCCCTCGGCCTGGACCCGGTGCAGCCGCCCAGGCCTCCCTGTAGAAGAGCCTTCTTAGCTGCTCAGTGTGACTATTTTAGTTTGCTGGTAGGAAATGTCTGCTAACACTACATACCATGTTTTAATTGTTGTACAGTTAGCCTTTGATCTTATGTAGTAAAGTGTATCAAATCAGGACTTTTTGAATTGTAAATATATGGTTTTATTAAATAAAACTCATGTAAAATTGTTACTTATATTCCCTGTAGTCGGGTTTAAAATTGAAGTTCTTACCGTAAAGTATGGCAAATATTTGACTTGGAGTGTTATGCTGTTCCAGTATTTCAAACATCACTTAAAAGGATCGCTGAGATCAAAAGGATGGTACTGTTGGGGTAATTTGGTTAAGGGGTTCAGGAGTTTAGTGCGCCCCTTCCAAGCTGAAGGGGAGCCCTGGACTGGCTGCCCCTCAAACTTGACTCTGCCCCCAGCTGTAGCATTTCCCACGAGTCTGCCACTCACCTGCCCCCGCTCCTGAGCCTGCACCCTGCCTGTCAGGTCCCCGCTTCCTCAGAAACTGCTTGGAGCCTGTCAGCCAGGTGCTGATGTCCAGCCCCCGCCCCTCACCTTCCCCTCCCCCCAAACGCCCCCATCAGCGCGCACCCTGGGCTCTCCCCTGGGCTAGTGTGGGCCCCGGTTCCTGTCTGTGGAGTGGACATCAGTAATACTGCCCTTTAAGGGGTGGCTGAAGTGATCCTCAGGGTCACCAGGCAGTGGGAGTAATCCTGTGGGTCACACGGGGGTGCCTGGGGAGTACCTGTCAGGCCAGAACAGGAGGCCCAGGAGGGAGCCCTGAGGGCTGCGCTCTCTTGTGTTTGTCCCCTGTGACTGTCCCAGATGCTGCCACCCCCTGTCCACCCCTCATGTCACCTCAGCCTCCATGCCTGTCCTGGGAATATGCCCCTGGGCCCACCTCCCCACCCATCCTCACGGAGACTGGGGCCAGCAGCTCTGGGGCATCTACTCCGATGTCTTTGGCCCCACATGGTGCCCACCAGCCCCACCTTTCCCACCAGTGAACTGCTTCACCCCCTGGCCGTTTCTCTTCTCCACAGGCTGTGTGCGAGGTGAGCGATGGACGGGTGGTCACGGTTGTTAACGTAAAAACCATTGAAACTTGTAAAGAATTTTTGTGAGTGTATTTGAGCCAAACTGTCGACATACGCCGGGAAGCAGAACCTCAACGAATTGAGATAGTGCTCCAGAGAATGGCGGGGTTACATCTGTATTTATACATTTGCAATCAAAGGAGGGACATAGGCGGGTTACATGGAATTCATTGGTGACAGATTAAGGAGGAGGTTTTATTAAATAAATGGGCGGAGAGGCAAGCGTCACATCGCTGGCTGGCCACCTAAAGCGTGGGAGCCTGCCATGAAGGCAGGTTGGAGGACACTGCAGCAGGTGGGCGGAGTGTCTTTTGCTTATTAGGTCAGTTTGTTCATTAGACACCAAGGTGGACTAGAGATGTGCTGTTGGCCACCAGCTGGACCAGAGGAAGGGTATCTCGGGTGGACTGGCAGAGGAAGCCTTGGTGGGCAGCGTGAAGCTCAGGCCCACTCCCACCCTGCCCCCACCCCACCCCGGGGCTCAGCAGGACCTCAGGTCCCAGGGATCCCGGAGCTGCCCTGCTCCTCCCTGCAGCCTGCTTGCTCTAGGACAGCTACTCCGGCAGGGCCATGCCAAGGCCCAGCTTCCCAATGCCTGAGCCCTGGAGGTTCCCTGTGGATGGAGGGGCAGGGCCTCTGCCCCAATTTCAACTGCCCTTAAACAGCTCAATCGAAAATAAACCCAGGTTTAAGGAGCAGTTAGCCAAAGGTGAGGAGCAGCGTTGTAATTCTCTAAGCATCGTTTTCCTTTTCTGAAAACAAGGTAAAAAGGGTACCCAACATCTTTGTTTTGTTAAGTAAAAGTGGGTTTTATAATTTTTTTTCTTTTTTGCTCAATCCTTCCACACCCCCTGACCCCCAACCCTCTGAGAGCTGTCTGCCTGCTCTCTCTCTCTCTGAGTCTGTCTTTCTTTTGCTTATTAGTTCAGTTTGTTCATTAGATTCCACATATGGTGCTTGTCTCTGTCTGGCTTATTTCACTTAGCATAATGCTCTCAAGGTCCATCCATGCTGTGGCAAAGGGTAAAATTTTCTTTTTTTATGGCCGAGTAGTATTCCATTGAGGTTAAAAGCTCTTGTATAATCTATTTAGAAACAACCTTGTGAAGTAACCAACATTGTCTCCTAGTTAACCGTAACATTGTAGCAGTGACAGAATCTGAGCGGCATTGGTAACCGTGCCCTAAAGCGAGGCCAGCACAGCGGCTGTAGAGTGTCAGCCCTCGGACCAAACTCTCTGAAATTCAATGGAAAAAATACCCTTGGGTGAGGATTGGCAACAAAAGCCAATGTCAGCCTCACGCTTCTCGTATCTTGGCGCTCAGACCTGCCCGATGCGGAGGCCGTGGCCGATGCAGGTGCTCGGTTCGACCTGGATAATTGCTAACGTGGCAAAGCCAGCTGAGGACACCTCTTCCCCTCTTGTGAGCCTAAGGGATGGGCGCTGACAAAGGCCATTTGCTTGGTGAAGGCACCGGGCATATTGGTGGTAGCACTCGGAAGTTTCCCAACCACAGAGCCACCCAGTGTTGCTTTTTGTATGAGGCCCAAAGAAGAGAATGTTCTGTTGCCAGCGATGGACTCCTTCACTGTGGCGCCGATGAACAGGTAGAGAAGAGACAGAACTTGTAGAGGAGGAGAGTGGGAGTAGGAAGTGAAGCGCTTCCCTCCCCTCGGGGTTACGTGTGTGTGTGTGTGTGTGTGTGTGGTAGGATTAGTATATATGATAACACGTGTATTCAAGATGTGGGATGTAAAAAGAAATTTCAATCAACCTCTATTGCCATCAAAGGAAAAACACTTTAAAACAAAATGCATCAAAAGACAAAGTTATTGGGACATTCCCCGGACCAGCGGAGTCATCTGCTTTGAGTGGGGTTTCTGCCATTCTTAAAAGGTATTTAGCACCAAAAAATAGATCACCCTTGAGATGCACTCAAGGTTAGAGATAAGGGAATACTTTTAATCCCAGATCCGCACATCTCAAAATTTAACCTAAGATTAAGAAGAAATAAAACCGCCCAACCAGTGTGGCTCAGTTGGTTGAGTGTCGTCCCATGAGTCTGGAGTTCACGGTTCAAGTCCTGGTGAGGGGCACAGGCCGTGTTACAGGCTTGATCCCAGTGAGGGGTATGCAGGAGGCAGCCCATTGATGTTTCTCTCTCATCAATGTTTCCAGCTCTCTGTCCTTCTCCCTTCCTCTGAAATCAATAAAACCATATTTTTTTTTAAAAAAAGAATAAAACCAAGCCCCTAGCTCCAAAAGCATTACCCCCACCCCTAAAAATGTTAATCACCAATTCTGAATTAAGGAGCTGGGCCTATCAGCTATTTCTTGCATTAACACAAGGAATGATAGGCATTTTAACGTATGATACAGAGTAAAATCACGTGCAGAGTGGGGTCCCGTGGCCTCGCTGGAAACAAAAGGCTTATGGGCAGTTGGCACTCCCCACTCCATACATATTGCACCTGGCAAAACACAGCCCCCGCTGTCTTCACTGGAAAACAAACCTTCATTTATTGGGGGATCAATGCTTTCCTTTAGAGGGTCCAAGAAAACGGTTCATTGGACTTGAAGACTGCCATTGAGCCATTGCTCAGCAGACTGAGCCTCCTTTCACTGAGCAAAGGGAAGATGAACACCAGCCCCTTTCCTCTGTGTCATTTCCCGTTTCCTGGATGTTTTATTAACCCAGAAGCGAGGTTCATCTAAGGGAGTCATGAGGTTTGAATTGAAACTGACTTGGGAGTGCACAGTTTAATAAATGCAGATTTAATAATCGGCACAGGAACTGGGGACATCCTGCCCACTGGCTGCCGCTCCGACATGGGGGAGGGGGCCGTTCTCCTTAGCGTCAGGTCGCTGAGATGATGGAGTCGCTCGGATATAAAAGACTATCGACAGTGTTTCACGAGAAGGGGGCACACCACCTGTTTGTTCCTCTGGACCTGCTTTGCTTGACCCCATAATAAAACCCACTGCTAACCCAATTTTGTGCCCAGCACTCATTTCGAAGCTGAAAGAGTATGAGATAAATGCAAAATGTAGTTCCACCCTAAATATCACAAGCCGTTTAAAGAATGGCAACACATGGAGAATAACAGTTAACCGACAATAGCGTCTGCCGGGGTGAGCCGTCAGGAGGGGAGGAAGGCCCTGGCTTCCCGGATCTTCTGCTTCACCCCCCGGCAGGACAGAGCCAGCCCAGCGTGGTGGCGCTGCAGGTTTTCCAAGTGCTGCTGGAGCTGTTCGGTCCTGCCCACCTTCTCCTCCATGTCCCGGAGGAGAGACTCCTTGCCCAGGAGCCCACACCTCTGGTTCAGCTTGATGTTGTCCAGCCGCAGGTTGTCTCGAGCTTGCTTCGTCTTGGTCAGGATGTCCCTCCTTAGGGCCACCTGAGCCTCGACCTCCAAAAGCTGCGCCTTTTTGCTCATATTTTCAATATCCACAAAGTGCAACTTTTCCTTCACGTGGGTGATGATTTGCACATTGTTGTTCACCTTGCCGTGCAGTTTCAAAAGCTCCTCGTTTCGCTCCTCCACTTTCTCATTGAAGGTCTGGTTCTCAATCTTCAGCTGCTCAAAATCGATGAGGAGCAAGCCGTCCGACGTGTCCTCCTGGGTCCGCATCCTGGTTTCAAAATGCACGATGCTCTGCTTCAGCTGCACGTTCTCCAGCCGCACGGCGCTCATCTCCTTCTCCTTCTTGTCCTCCAGCGCCTGGATCTGCTCCACCTCCCGCAGGGCCGCCTGGCGACCGCCCCTCAGCCGACAGCTGCCCATGGCCTGCAGCACCACCTGCTTCTTGAGTGCCTGGAATCGTCGCCATTCCTTCTCCACCCTGGAGACCTTCTCCTTGCACTGCTGCTTCAGCTGGTCCAACTCCTGGTGGTACCAGTCCAGGTCGTCCGCCTCCTGCTTCCTGAGCTCCTCCAGCAGGGCCAGGTAGTGGAGGTAGGCTTCCTCCTTCTCGGGGGCCTCGGGCTCGGCGCCCTTCTCGGGCACCTCGGCCGCTTCCAGGCCCTTCTTCTTGCGCAGCGCCTCATAGATCTTGTGCTGCAGGTAGATGTTGTAGCGCTGGTAGTGGCTCCGCTCCACCCTCAGGGTGCGGTACTGCTCCAGGAGCTCGGACCGCAGCTGCTGCTCCTGCTGCCTCTGCACCTCCTCGGTCCACTCCAACTCTGCATCCTTGAGCTCCTCGTCCAGCCCCT